TCGGCTGCAGACTGGGAAACATGCACAGTAACAAATGGGTGGCTGGGATGCAGCACAGGGGGCAAAGGACCCCCACAAATCCTCTGATTTTTCAGTAGCAGATAAACACACAAATTAAACCCCACTTTCTTCAGCTCCGAAACACCATCTCTCCTCAGGAATGGTTATTTCGCTATTAATTTTCAACTTCTCACCTCAAAATCGTTTCAGTCACAGAACTGCTCCAACTCAGACTCCAAAAATGCGCACTTTGGAAAAACCCATTTTTCCATATTCACGGTTTGAACGAGTCATCTTCCTTTTTGTATTTTTGGAATCGAGCAGAACCCATTCTTGGAAAATATTAATCCAAAACTTTAAAAGCTTTGAGAAGTTTTTTGAACAATTTGTTAAACTAGAAACTTCGCCTGAAGAAAACAGTCCTGCTCTACTGCATTCAGTATTTATTCTGAGGATGGTAGATGAGCCCCTCGGCTGGCACACCCATGCGGGAAGGTAACGGAGAGCTGATCAGTTCAGGGGGAGGCAACGCAGCAACTAAATAATGTAAATAAATAATAAAGAAAAACAACTTGAGCAAAATCATCGTGCAGCCCAGAAAAGCTTATCTGGAAACAGAGAACTTCCACCAATTATTAGGACAGAGGCAATGTATCCTGCGAGGGTTAAACTTGAGCCTTGCTATTCTCTTTCATTTGCTTTCTGAAGAATTCTCCTTTGGGTAAAAATCTCCCTTGGTTGGCCTCAGCCCAGAGGTTTTTAAATTTACTTTCTGAAAGTCTAATAAAGTCATTTCAGCCGCTTTTTTTTTGAGTTATCTAAAAGTGAAATAATTTTTCTGACTCAAAACATGCAGATGTTTTGCTGCTCATGTTGCTTAAATATGACCCAACCATACAAAACAAAACTTTCTAGCTGACTAACTCCTGAAGGGAATCCAAACCTTTAAATGACTTGAAAAACCCCACACAGCTAAACAAAAAGCACTGTAAGCCACACATTTTGCAGGCCCAGGGGTTGTATGGAGGCGAAGCGGTAACGTTTGTGAGCGCCCATGGCTGGGACAGAGCCTTCCATCGCCACCAGGAATGCGCCGCCTTTCTGCTCCCCCTGAACTCCGGCAGCTCGGCAGGAGGAAGGAGCCACGATCCTGCGGGGCTCCACGACAGCTCACAAAGGAGCCTTTCAGCTCGACATCATCTTTTTTTTTTTTTGTTGGGTTTCTTTTTCTATTTTATTTGCACGTTTTGGGGAGGCGAAAGGGAAGGAACACAACCTTTGCCTTTCTGCCTTGATAAAATGTAGTGAGTAAACTTCTTACCTACGTTTCTGATTCTTTGCAGAACCCTTTACGCGGGGTTTTCCGTGCCTGCCTCTCGGCTTTCAGAGCAAAGCAGAAAGGGAGCTTGCCCCTGCGAGGCAGCACGTCTTGAACAAGAGCTGCTTCAACCTTTTGTAGTTCTCAACTGCCAGGAGATCAATCGCTCCCTGAAATTCTCCAGCCAATGCTGAGCACCACAGGGAAAGCTCAAGAAATTAAGAAAATGCCCCGTTTTCCAATAAGAAACCATCTGTTTCTGAAGGCAGATGAGAAAAAAAATCAGCCTAAAGAACACAGGTCACCTCCAACACAGTTGTCTACCATGGAGATCTAGAGAGGAGGCAGGTGCAGATTAAAAAAAACATCTAGGAAATTTCTCCCAAAAACTATCATTACAAAGAAAAATGTCATTTTTACCTTTAGAGATCTTGCCAGTGTGAAAGTCTTAATGTGGAACTGAACAGTTTTGCACAGGGCAAAACAAGTGACTGACAAGGAGGGACTGACTGCAGGAGCAGAGAGGGCAACAGAGTTCCCACCTGCCACTGGCCACCAGCCGCGCACCCCCAGCTTATCTGCTGCAGCTCCAAACTGGACACCAAGATGTACAAAAAACAGCTTAGAAATAACCCAGTTCAAAGCAAGGACAACTTGGGACCTCCAAACCTCCTGACCCAGGGACAGAAGTTGGGTCACTGAATGGTGACAGCGGAGCTGGCGGGACAGATGTTTTTTTCAGTTGTTCTGCCACAAAGGTCCAAAACACATCAACACAATTACTATCTGCTCTCCCATGCACTGAACCTTTTGCATCACCAGCTCTGTCCATCTGCAGGACCAACCAAAACTTGGCCAAGGACCATCAGCGCCACAGGAACCACACAAGGAAGCAAAAAGCATAGGGCTGCTCAAGGGGAACGTGTGTATCCTTCAGCAAATCACAAAAAGCAGGTATTTCTGCTTGAATGCCCCAAAACCCTGGAAGACAGCACCTAAAGAGAAGAAAAAGGGGACTAAGTTTGCTCTAGTTACTCTGATGCTGAGCTGGTGAGTTTACCCACGATCAGTCAAACCTTCAGGGAAAGACAGATGTTATGGGACTGACAGGTGGTCCAAACCTCGGGGAAACCGCGGCTGACGCTTGGAAAAAGCATCAGGCAAAGAGGGACTGCCAGGTCCTGCCACTGCTGGCTCCTTCCTTGGCCAGCCAAAACAAAATGTCTAAAAGATTCGGGATCTGAGTTTCTGGCAGCTGATAATTGCCTGTAATATGCCAAGGGAGCTCAATTTTCAGTGCTTCAAGAAGCAGAGCTAGGAGAGCTGGCTCGCCAGTGCCCTGTGCTTTTATCCAAGACGCGGACTGAAGACACGCCGGGAGAACATGCAAAGCACAGAATCCCATTCTCAGCACATGCGTAACCAGCAAGTTATCTCACTTTTGTTATGGTGCTGCAATACCAGCCCCTTCTATACAAGACTCAGATACGTGTGGCAATAAAAGCAGCTCTCACAAAAATTTTTCGGTCCTGCAGTCTTACATTATTTCCACCACTTTTACTGGTACAGTGCCATGTACGATTCATACTGGATAGTATCACTCAGGGCTTTCCTCCGTATAACCTTTGCTTTTTTTTTTTCCTAACTATACATTACATGCACACTCAATGGCACGTTACTTCTCTGCACACAGGTACGCCGCCCCGCTGCTTTGACTGCCAGAACAGGTTCTGTTTCTGGGAGAGTCACATTTACAGAACGGCATCGAGTTTTCACTTTGATTTCTTGTTGAGGAGTGTACATGAATAAATATCTCATTTTGATTTTCATTGTCTTAAGGCAATTCAAACGCACTTTAAATGTTACTACTACATGCATCAATTTACAGCAACATAAACCAACAATTTTTTAAGTTTCACATATATAAATTGCTCCTCCACCACTGATGTGAAAATTGCCAATAAATTTCCACATTCAAAATTCTGAACATTTCCATCTTCTATAGCTACACCTTAAAAAGGTTTTGTAAGCAAAAGGTAAAGTCATGTCTCTACTGAGTTCATGACAAAATTATGGTGTTGTGGTTTGGGCCAGACTGGCCACTGAGACGAAGGACAGATGCTCAAACCAGGACATGTGGATATTAATTGCACATGTGCATGTTGATGCATCCAGACTATTTAATATATAGCTTGATTTCATGATCAAAATACAAATAAATGTATAAATACAAATCAATTGGATCACACACCAGGAGGTGACTTCATACTAATGTAGGTCCTAAAATTCCAGCTGAATTAAAGATCCCATAGTGCCTGGGGAAGAGAAGTAAAATAAAAGCAATCCTTGTCCCTAATTTAAATACTGCAATTACTATTGCAAAATTATTGCAATGCTGTGATGCAACAGTAAAGCATTTTGTATGTCAGCAAATAACTGCTGCTGACTATTATTTTAGGGATATTTTTTCTCAAACTGCAGAGTGAAGCTACTTTGCAGTTACATTTAAAGGACTTTTAGGAATTTTGTTGGTATTTAGACAGGAATACCAGCATGGAAAAACAATTCTGCATGTATCTAAGGATACAGAAGAAGCTCTGTGATGTTAAACAGCACACAAGAAATACGCAACCATGCTATTAAAGGACATATTATGAGACTGTGAAAAACTCTGAGAAGTTAAGATGCATGTTCCCTTTTCAGCTGTGCATTTGCTGTCTTGTTTACGCATTTAAAATCTAACATTGTATTAGCCTTTACTATTCCTAGATTTTCAAACTTTTCATGCGAGTTTCCCTTATGCTCCTTTAGCCATTCCAGTCAATCGTTCTACCGAAGACCACGTGCGCTGATGCTGCTAGTTACAACCCAGGAGCTAAAGCAGATGCTCCTACAAGTCTGACACACAGGCTTCAGTGCTCAACTCAGGTGAAAGAAAATAAGACCACTGAAAGGCTCGTGAGCTAGTTTCTTCTGTTATTTCAGATACGTATTTCTCCATATTATACAAACTACACTTACTATACAAAACACCCAGCAAAACTCGTAACATTTCTGCAATTAAGCAACGTTGAGTTGGCCAGACTTAGGGAAATTTCAAATAAAGTCACTCCTGACTAAGCACGAGATGTTTCCTACAAACAATACACTTGGAAGGTGACCTCAGCCGACAGCAGGGGTACGGGGGTGAGGTCAAGCAGCATTTTGATTTTAACATAAAAATACAGCAGTATAGTGATGCCAGTATCTGACCTGATACCCTCCAACCCTGACTCACCAGGGATGGACTAAACCACCCGGCTGGACAGGAGCGTGGGGCAACTCGGTGATATGCCTGCCCCTGTGGGGGCAACTGCACTGCTGGCACGGGCTATCATTTGCCAGGAGAAACTTTTCGCTTTGCAGCTCTCCTAGTGCACAGCAACGTCCCCAGAGAGCCTCGCGCTGTAAATACTGCACCGAAGGCAAGAGCTGCTTCTGACCTCAGAAGAAATACTGCTGGAGTAGAGAGCCACAAAGCTTAGACAGCCCCCAAATTTATCCTGTGAAAGGCCCACCCAAAAGAAGCATCACTGATGAACGGAGAAGCAGCAGAGCAATCTTCAAGACCTTCCCGAAAATAAGTCCCCAAGCAGGAATGTTTACCCCAGGATTCCCAAAGATTTGAGCAGGAGTGAGATACCTCTGTGCGCTCGCACATGGGTCTGGAAACAGTTGTAATACTTGTATTTCTTCCCACATATGCCACACTCGTAAGACCCTGAAAAACAAGACAGAAAAGTATACATCACCATATTAGATCAGGAAAAACAGCCTCGCCACATACTTATCCATAAACTGGGGACAAAAGAATGCAGTTTGCAGCAAAGTAATTTTTGGAAGGTTCATGGAGATAAATGCAGGAAATCACTATCCCAGACTCAATCCTTTTTTCAGCCTTATTTAAAATTCCTTGGCGTATTACCCTGAACTTACATTTTCAGTATATCTTTATAACTTTGCGAACACGAAAGGGCCACTCTCAAAATAGCCTGACTTATAATTTTATAATAATGACTAATATTTCCTATGGACAGAAATAACCTTGAATTACTTTTCAGTAAGTTCCTAGTATATGGGAAAAAAACCTTTTCAACTGAAAAAAGAAGGCAATATGTTATCTTGAGGCAAGGAGTTTTCAAAATTTCTCAAGAAATGCACAATGTACAAATTTCTCAAGAAACCCACAGAGATTTGGTAAATATCCACCCAGAGGAAACCAAATAGATACAAATAGAACTTTTGACCTTTTTAAGGAAAAGCACATGACCACAGTAGTCTCTCTTCTCAATTTGTGTCTCTAATTCCAGAAAACACACATCTGCAAACAGTCATTTGAAATGAAACCAGAGAGACAGAGCTGGGAGAATCATTTGTAATGATGAAATTATGCAATGAATTTAGCCTCTTCTGTTTATTGGACAGCCGGACAGAAATTTCCTTAGATTTGTTATTTAAGTTGACTCAAGCTTTTTTTTTCCCCCCACTCCGAGTTGGTGAACAGGCAATGAGTTCACCTTTCAAGTTCTCACTTGCAAAATGTATTCCATTTCTCAGCTGTTCATCAGCAGCTAACTAACTGTGATCCCATCTGTGCTCTTCAGGAGGGCGAGAGCAGCACTTACTGGAAGAGGAGGTGGGAGAAAGAAAGGCTGAACATGATTTTATGTGAACACAGCATTTCATTTCCATAGGCGCTTCCTCACCCAACCTTAAAACAATCTTTTCCTGACCGTGCAAAAACAGTAAAACTCAGGGACAAGCCACAAACAAGAACAAAACATTCACACACACACATCCAAATAAATATTCCCAAACATCATTCGACAGCAATACTTACCCAGTGCTACTCAAAGTGAGCTCTTTCCAGGAACAAAACCAACTGTGGGTTTTTTTTAACATGCTATACCCATGTTCTTTTTTTCCTTTCCCATAGCCTATTGCTTACAGCTTGGGAAGAAAACAACCCTCCTTCAGTTCGCAACAGCGCTGAATTCCCTGTCCACCACTGTTAGCGTCACTTGGGACTGTCTTTTGAGCTTGGGAGGCTACTTCGTCACTGATGCTGAAAGAGGCAATTCGCCACAGTTTGATACACAAGAGTACACATCTGAAAAAAATACTCTAAAAGAGTGGCATTATGGTCAGTTGACTATGTCTGATCTGCTCCATAGCCTTCTAACTATCACAGCTAATTGTATGTTATATATAGATATACATACATGGGACAGTCATCACCCGTGGCCACTCCACACAGGCTTTTCTAAGTGAAATCCTGCAGATCAGCAAGTCGGCAGCATCTGCCAGCCCTCATTTTCCATGCTCAAGGACTGATGATATTCATTGCCAACCTCCAAAATTCTTTCCTGAAAACTATTCCAGCTGGAGCCCCAAAGCAGCACGGCCAGAAGACGAGCACAGTCCCCACCACTTGGGCCCTACCAACCACTAACCCTGGGCGACAGCAGAGGTTCAGCCGCACCAACAGCAGAATGCGACTGACGCCCACCCGTACTGCGGAGCAGCACTGCGTGCACACAGAGCACCGGGACAAGTAAAAAACAGTGAGGGTCACTCTAGGGTGAATTTTTTTCCCCGTTTTTCTTATATTTCCCTCTTCCTCTGGAGATAGTCTACGGCACATAAACGCATTTGGTTGTGCAGAAGTTCTTCAAGAAGAATATAACCTGTACAAGTAACCATGGAGCGCCTTCCCTCTCCAATACGAAACCAAACGGGCACTGCAGCCCTCACACATGGGGCTGGGGCTCGAGAGGCAGGGCAGGAGCCGAAGCCACCGGCGCGTCCCACAGCCAGTGCTGTTGTGCAGACGTCCTGATGCACCCAGGTCTCAAGTGCAACCTGGGGAAGGCTGGAGTCCTCTTCTTCGAGGCGGGTACCTCTCACCCACCTCCTACGCGCAGGCAGTAGAGCGCTGCCCCAGGAGACAGCGAGTTTGTGGAGTGTGGAAGGGAGGTGCAGTGCAGATCTAGAGTCCTGCAGGCACCGAGAGACAACTCAACAGCCACAACTGTGTACGCCGCACACCGTGATTTGGGGGCAAAGGCACAGATCCTCATATTAGAGAAAAGAGGGATGACTTGCCACAATAAATGTGTTATTAGAGTGGAGGAAAGATGAAGTGGGGGGAAAAAAAGACATCGCTACGTGTTAAGGCCTTACAAAGAACATGCCCGTGTTGCCTTGGACACTGCCACCGTGGTTGTGGTTTATCTCGGACTTGGTCCACATCAGGATGGGTCATGCGGGTTAAAGCTGTTTGTAGTAGGAGGGGAGATGGGGAAGGTTTTTGGTTAGTTGGTGCATTCAGTTTTGCCAGGCTTTTCCTGAGCCTCGCAGCCGGAATTTGGGCACGCACCCGTTGCATCCAGAGCTTTCCCTTGCTCCCTGATCCCTGGTTAGACTTTCACACCCTTCCATCACATACCGGACGTGTATCTCAACGCATGGTCAAAAATCCAGGTCCCTGAATATCGATTTCGTGTATATCCAACGGGAGAGGCACGTTCCACTGCTTTTCCATCTAAATTGTGCAAAAAAAAATCAGAAAGAGCCCTTAAAGTGGGTGCATTTCCAAAGAATAATGATGGCTGAAACCTATTAAAAATTTCCAAGACCCATCTGTCCCTGTGGCTTGCTGACAAGGTGTCAGAGGTCACACAGAGTTTCTTAAGGCTTTTGCAGCACCATCTTACTTGGCATAACTAGGAAGAATCCAGAGTGCTCTTGAATTCTGTGTGCTGAGCAGCTCAGCAACTGAGACACCAGCATCACGGCGTGAGGCAAGCACGCGCCTGTCAGACAGACAGTCTCAAAGCAGGAGGATTCACTCTTCGCTTTGCCTCAGAAACATTTCTGATTTAATGCGTTACTTGAAAAATCCTCTCCAAAATGTTTCTTGTAAAGTGCAGATCAGATTGAGAGCTTAAACAGAATCACAGAATCATAGAACGCTTTAGGTTGGAAAGGACCTTGAAGATCATCGAGTTCCAACCCCCCTGCCCTGGGCAAGGACACCTCCCACCAGCCCAGGTTGCCCAAGGCCACCTCCAGCCTGGCCTTGAACACCTCCAGGGATGGGGCCTCAACAACCTCTCTGGGCAACCTGTTCCAGTGTCTTAGAACTGTAGCCTCGTATAAAACTTCTCCTGATCAACTTGCAGGTAACTCAGTCCTCCAAAACACAAATACTGACCTGACGGTATTCCCAACATTGGAAAATTATCCACATCAGCCAAATAGCCTCTCCCCCTTTCTCTCGATTTACAACACAAGTGCCATTTTCCTTTCCTCTCCTTTCTAGAGGGTGGGCTCCTCTGCCTCTCCGCCCTGACACCCCTGCCCGCAGAAATGCTCACATGGTGGAGCTCTTCAAATGACCCTGGCCCAAGAACAGCACGTGAAGCTAGCACGAAAAAAGGCAAAAAGAACAGGAAATACTGCATCTCGGAGCTCTGCAGTGCCAGAAACACAGCGCTCACAGGGCAGAGAGAGCCGGCGGTGCCGGGGAGGTACGGGCGGGTGGATGGGGAGGAGCACATGATGCCCAGCAGCAGTTATCCGTCTGCTGCTGACCAGACCCCAGATTACAGCCAACCTCTCCGTTGGCTTTCTTTGCTTGGGATGCCTGAAGTGGGATCTCATGGAGCTTGCAATACGTCTGTGGAAAAGCAGATGAAAGGGAAATGGTCCAAACCCACAAAGATCAGCACCGGCTCTGCGGCTGGGGTACTGCAGCCACCGCCACCACCCACCCCACTTCGCTGCATCCGCTCTCGTCCATCGCAGGGTTTGGGCTGCTCCTAACGGATGGAAACGGGGTCTGGAGGAGTCCAAAGTGCAGGGGGAGACATGTGAGTGTGTAACCAAACAGGCGGCAGCATACACAAGGCCTAATTTGATGAAAACACTACAAGCAAATAGCAGCAATAAGGAGCTGGGAATCCCTGTTATAAATTGCTCCAAGTAACAACTAAAAGTATAAATATAGCATGCTCCTGCAGGAGATGTGTGACTCAGAAAAGAGACATAAATCTTCTAATGTGCATTTCAGCCAAGTCCCGAAGCTGATTCCCGCAGGAAGGCTGTCTGTCACTTGGAGCCACGTGTGCCCTGAAGCCTTCAGCACCGCAGCCCCAGCTCAGACAACACATGCCCCACTGAACTGACCGTTCCCAGCACACCATGAAAGGCTGGGGGCCTGGGGGCCGGCATTTCCACGCAAAGGAGAGGGATTCATTTACTCCCGCTTCACTGCTTCATCCTGCATTACGAATGACTATAAAAAAAAGAACCATTTTCAACACCTCCAGTCTCAGCTTCCCTGATGAAGGTGAATAAAATCCTACCAAAGCCTTGCCTTTCTGCACGGCTGAAGTGATTTAGCTATGGGGCTGCCAGATCACATCGCGAGAAAGGCTGCAGGGAGAAAAACTCCTGGAAGTACCGGTGAGCAGCAGCAGCAGAGAGCATGAAGCCTTTGCTCCGGAGATAGGAGGCACCATCGTCTTCAGCTGTTCGCAACCTTGGGCTGTTGCAGAGCAGCAGCCAACATGGCCAGCGAAGCAGCAGGCACGGGACGCTTCTTTTGCGAGTTACACAGATGTCTGCAGCGATGGAAATAGTGCCTGTCTGTGGTTTCTGGGCGGGGATGGAGGGAACCAGAAGAATTGACTGGGAGCCAGTTCAAGAAACCACAAGGAACTGATATCTGGGCACCACAGTCAGTCCACACAGAGCACAGTATTTGGTGGCCAAACAGAAAAGTTATTCAGAGCCACCTCCCCAACAAACAAGAGTTATGTGAATGGCGGATGAATAGGGGCACTTACAGGGCTCTTTTCACAAAGGAATCAGCCGCCAACTGCCAATCGCCTCAGGACCAAGTTGCCTTTAAAGAAACCCAGCGCAAGGCTATAAAATAACAAATATGATGCACATTTTTCATTTGAAAAGGCCCTTCCAGATAGAACTTCTCCAGTTTACTTTCTACAACTTTCACCCACCGCTTGTTAACTAGTAAATAACTCTCTGTCCCTCTCCCCACAGTGCCTATATGTTGAATAGTGTCCCCTCTCACTCCAGCCTGTCCCCAAAGTTCTCAGTAGGTGCGACGTGGTAGTGTACATCAGAGTTAGCCAACAGCAAAAGCCCATTCCCCCCCTGTCACAACCATATAGTCAACTCAGGGGACATCATCTGCAGAGCAGCTGCTGCTGCCCAACCAGAAGCGATGTGGGGAACGGGGTCCTACATGACAGTCTTGATCTGCAGATGCTTTCATCAAGGGCTGGTGACCACAGCTGAAGGAGAAGCTCCTTTGCCTCCCATCAGTGGTCATCTCTCCACCCATCCCTCCCAGGGCACCAAGGACATGTCTGCATTTCAAGGTTGCCCATGCAGTGACCAACCTCTCAAGAGCTGTCGGGGCACAAAAGCTCTAAATATACACAGACTATTTCCTCCAAATCGTAAGATCTTGAAGTTGGAAACAGTTATGGACTTCTTAGGCTTTCCCTAGATGTTTTGACCCTGCATAAATAGCAGTGACCTCCAACCCTGCCATTCTTAGTGGCTATCCTACTGGGTAAAGGAGGACAGTAAGGACAACAATGCTCCAAATACAGTCACCAGCTAATGACACCCTCCAGAGTTTCTTTCTGACAGAGTGGACAACGATGAATCAAAAACCAGGAGACAAATCTAGTATCAATGCTTCTTTTCTTTCCTCCTGCAAGACAAACCAACTCCAACAGCAACACTGGGCAGCTCAAATTAGCTTCCTCCCGAGTGCCTTGAAGGAAACACGGGTCCAACTGCTCTTTCTTCTTTACATCAGCAGCTGCCTTTGCTCTTAAAAGTCACTGCTGGGACCTGCTCCATGCCAGAACCGACAGAGAAGTTGGATCTCTCCAGGATCCTGCAGAAAGCCCTTTCCTTGGAAAGGGGGAAAGGACCATCGGATGTTCACAGAAAAAAAGAAAAAGCTTCTTCTCATCACAGCTCTAGGTGGGCTGGGATAGGAAGTACTATCTTGGAAGTGACACACCACAGCCAGCCAGAAGTCAAAATTATTCCCACAACATTACTGGTGATCAGAAAAGCAAACAAACAGCAACTTGTAAAACCTGTTTTTGAGTTAAATCTAATAACTCACAGAAAAAGCAGCCACTTCCCTCAAAGCAACTTTGCTCAAAGCATTTCAACTTTTTCTCAGGCTTTCCTCCTGATTGCCTCCTCATCTCTGCCCAACATACCTACCACCAGCCCTGGGTTCACCATGAATTTTGCACATGACTGATGGGCAGGTCATGTAACACGTCAAAAGAAGGTAATAAGCTTTTTCTTACAGTTACCCTGATCTTGGTTGAGTCTTTAGGGTTGATCAGATGCAAATAGATAGCAAAAGTTAAAGAAGGTCAATAATCCCAAGACAGGACCCCGAGGTTGATGTGTACCTTGGCTCTGGTCCCCCCAGAAGAGCCAAGCTGCCAGGAACGGCTCTCCGGAGCTTTGTTCCTCTCCCCAACACTGCAGACTCAACACCACGGACTCAGGGAACCAACTGATGGGGCACATTATCCCACAGCTTACCGAGTGTCTGCTGGTTGCGGACCCCACCTATGACCACGCAGATCTCTGCGGGCACGTCTCCTGGACCATCTTTTATGTTCTTCTTGGAATCTTTGGTGTCATCCTGCCAGATCACCTCTTCGATATAGTCATCTGGTACTTCTGTTTTCACCTTCACCTCAGTCATCATTCCACCCTCTTCACTGGGTGAGGACTGAGACGTGACCGAATCGGAGCCCTCTGCTTTCGGGCTCCGCGGGCTCCTCTTCAAACAATCCCTGAATGGGGAAAAAAGAGGAGAAAACATGAATCCTCATCGTCAAGCGCTCACTCTCTAATCACTAGGACATAATTAAAGGTACTTTCTTGTAATGCAATTTATTTAAAATAAGTATGGGTAGGTATGCTTGTCTGTTCTATATGGTAAGTAATTAAACTTTAACCCGACAAAAGTAATAAAACCATTTGTTAGTAACGAAAACAACTTTAATAATCACAAACAATAGTAGCAGTCATAAGCAGACTTGACCGGTACTAAAGAAAAGCACAGAATTTCACCTGGTTCCTAGCAGGTCAGGAGCACAACTCCATCAAGTATCATGCCAAGACTACACTGTACACGCAAAAGAAAAGCCATATTCTCCTGACATTTTTAATTGGGAGCTATTTCCACCCTTGTGCACTCCTCCAGGGGTTAATCTGCCATCGCATCCTCTCTTTTAACCCTTCAAAGCAACCCAACATCCTATGGTATTCGTATGGCTTTATTTAACATGTACAGTGATGATGAAAGGGCATCATCCATAGTATAATGATATTTAGGGAGACCATTACGTTACGGACAGATACAAGTATCAAAGATGACAGGGAAAGCGTGATGGGTGGGAAAGAAAGGACGAGTCCCATCTATTTAGAAGCAGATGAAGGAAATAGTGTGTGTTTTCATCTTGGAAAAAGAAAGCTGGAAATTCATCGGAGAAAACAATCTAAATAAATAAATATTCAAAACCCCTTAAGAGCAAGAAGGAAACTGGGCACCCCAAAGCTGTAAAACAACATCAACAACAAGTGCCATGGTGGCCAAAGGCAGAGGGAGTTTGAGCACGACAGGTGAGGACCTCATCCAGAGGGTAGAGCCTTCTCCAAACGCACCATCCCACCACTTGTTATGGGCTCCCCGTTTTTAAGACTTGTTCTTAATAAATTCCAACACGCAACACAAAGATGAAATAATTGCTGCTTCAGTCTGTGCGGAAATCAGAAGAACTAAATATATAACAATAGCTTAGACTACCCAGAAACAGAGATTTTAAAGACTGTGACATATTTAGAATCATGTAAACACTGGGAACAGCTGAAGGTGTTTGAAAACATTTTAAGCAGAAGTAACAGACAAAATTAAGTGAAAAATAGGCTGAACTTTTGGATGAGAGTTATTAGACCATGCAATAGCGAAAGAGAAGGAAATCCCATTGCTTGGACCATCACAGAAAGTCAGAAAAAAGTATGAATGTTAGAAAACTAACACCTGCCATGGTTTCTGAGAGGGGTTATGAAGGTGGTAGAGAAATCAAAATGCCGCAAGTGCAGGCAAAAGCGCCCAGCGGGTAATCTGGGAGGATGGAGCCAAGAGGAGCAGATGAAGGAAGAGAACAATCTTCTGCAATAATTACTGCACAACCTCCTACACGGACATGTAGTTGCTATTTCAAAATGGGTCAGTCACATCATATTGCCAGATATTTTATTATTCATCCCTTCATTCTCATTATGGAATGAAATGTACAATTAATAGCCCCTAAACAGCGGGAATTAGCCTTGACCTGCCTCCCTGCTCATTGCCATCCTCCTCACACGTACTCCCCCCATGCTCCCAAAATCATACAGGGCTTTTGCAAGTGAGAAAGATGAATTAAGACAGAGAAAATGTGGTTGAAAGCTGGACGGTCTTTATGGTAATATTATTGGATGCCCAAAAGGTCCATCAATCTCACCTGACAGCGGTGCGGCTGAGCACCGGCTCTAAAGACAAGGGAGAGGCAGCAGCCAGGAGCTAAAGTACAAAACATTTAGCAATCAGCAAAGGGTGGGATTAATTGCAAATCAATCAAACCGAGAAGGTGTGAAGCACAAAACACTGATGAAGGCAGGAAAAGCAATGGGGCGGGGAGGGGGGGAACAGTGGAGGAAGATCAAAATTGAACCAATCCAATTCCCACTGGTAGGCAGAAAGGTGAGGGCAGGCACTGAAAGCAACTCCGTACCTACAGGGAAGGCAAACGCCTCCCTTATAGATGGTACAGAAACCTGGACTTGCCAATCCTGGACAAAACAACAGAAAAATCAATGCAGGAGCCAAGCAACGTGGAATTAAAAGCTACTACAACTAGCGGTGAGGCTAAGGATACAGCTTTCTGAGGAGATTACAAATTGGGTAAGAACATCAGAGACCTTCTGACAGCGCCCAGCTTCGCATCGCGTCACGTTCAACTATAAACTGGATCAGCAGTACACGGCCCGAAGGGAGTGATGGGCCACGCGCCGCAAGGCAAAACGCCCTCCTCAATGGGTACTGCTCCCGGGTGGAGGCATTTCCACAGGGCTCCTGAAATGCCTGATGTGGGGCAGATTTATTAAGGTGCTGGAATTAAATCTAACCTCGCTGTTGCTAAAAATGACGGGGGACGCACGGAGGGGTGAAGAGCGCTGACTGCGAAAGGGGCACCAACGCCAGCGCATCCATCGCTCTGTAAGCTGGCTCTGCCCAAACCAGGTGTAGCCTGGTCAAAGGTGTCCAGGAACGGGGGTGCACCCACAAACAGCACCCGCAGTGCTCCACTGTGATCCCAGCAAGCCGGTCACGCTGCAGCCACACAGAGCCATGCTCTAACCAAAAGGAATAACACAATTTTCGGATACACTTGGCCTGAGATGGATCAAGGAGGTAATTTTCTCCCTGTACAATGCCGTGGTGAAGCCAGTCCCTGCGCGCTGCAGACAGACTGAGCGCCCTCATTTTTAAAAGGTGACCAAAAAAGCTGGAGACAGTTCAAAAAAGAGGCACATAAATGGTTTGAGACTGGGAAAAGATACTTTATGACTTTGCGAGACCAAACAACTTCCATCTGTTTCTCATGCCAAAAGGAAGACTGAGAGATGATTTGATTGCAGCACATTATCATCTTCATGGGGAGAAAATACTGTCTTTCCTTAATTTGGCAGGGAAGAGTAGAGTACGAGCTCATCGCTGGAAGCTGAAACCAGTTGAAATGAGGCATAAAATATTAGCGTGGCTGGTGGTCCACTGGAACAACCATTTTCCAAAGGATGTGCTGAGGGAGAACAAATCTCTCCAAGTCTTCAAATCCAGAGTACCCGTATCTGGCCGGCCCCGGGTTACCGGGCTCCATACAGATGTGCACTGGCCAGACTTGGTGACCTGAAGCTATAAGAATATATAAACTATTAGACCAGACCGATGGACCCTCAAAAATGTTGTTCTTCACACTCACTGACTTTCTGGATCCATCTCTGCCAAGAAAGTAACTTCCCAGCTGGGCTGTCTGCTCGTAGGTGGGACCCAAACCTGCAAGTATTAATTGAAAGCAACACTATTCCTCCAACATTGCCCTGTGTGTTACAACCCTGAGCCGGTACTCGGTGTACAGAAGGACACCGGCCCCAAGTATCTCAGCATGATTTCATAGTACAGAAGCCCTGAAAGGAGCCTGCAGATCCCCTCAAAAACAAAATAAGCAAAATCATAAAAAACATAGCACCACTGAATTTTTACAACAATCTTTCTTACAATTCTACAACAAACAGAGACCTCTGTCTTCCGACACTTTCTAGGAGAGAAGAAAGCTGCAGCCAGCAGATATACCCAGGTTACAGAATGGGTACAGACGTACCCACCGCTGTGCCAGGGAGGTGAGCCCCCGGGTTCTCCGTCCAGCACCGCGCAGCACTGCCCGGTGACCCCGCAGAGCTCTGCGCAGACCCACCTCCTGTGCAGATCCCAGGGAAAG